CCTAACAGAGGTCTCATGCAGAAGTCCCTAGACGAAGGCTAGATGGACGAGGTCCCTTCACGAAGGTGCGGGTAGAAGGCTTCTTGGTGGGGGCTAGATAGAGAAGGCCGCTCAGTGAAGGTTTCTTGCGGGGGTCACGAGGGTCTTGTGCGGAGGTCCCTAGACGAAGGCCGGTTGGACGAGGCCTCCTGATGGAGGTTCCGGGTAGAAGGTCCCCGAACGAAGGCCCGGGGCGAAGGTCCCAGGGCGCAGTCCCGGGAGGGAACTCATTAGGTTTGCAAAAGTGAGAGTGGAGAGGAGAGAGCCCCCTTGCCCTCATGCTTTTGGCATTATATAGGCAACAACAATTTACATATGACCAATTGGTGGGGGTGAATTTCACAGGCTACGACACTAACCCCCATTGGGCCTTTTCAAGGGAAAGTTTGGCCCATACACCACATGGGCTGCCCCCAACAAACTACTTGAGCGTAGGTCAACTAGTTAGGTTTTCTACGGTGACTTTGTCAATTTTGAGATCTGTCCGAGCATCTTGCCTCTGTACTACAATTCGCAAAAAAAAACACTTCCAAGTGCCGATGCTACTGGTTAAGCGCATCCATATTCTTTTAGTAAGCGTGTTGGATTTAAAAGTCTTGGCCACTAATCTTGAAATATACTATATGGAAAGATATTTGAAATATGAATCCATTATATAATTTTATATTCTAAGCATACACATACTTTAACTTAATATTGATAAAAACTTATGAAGAATGACTATGCTTACTAAAAATGAAAGGAGGTTGGCAAGACAAATTCTGACCCGCCCATGTTGACTATAGCCTGATTGGATCACTTAGGAGTAGTTGTTAACCCACTAATTGCTAGCGCCATGTTCGCTTGGCTGATAAGCCATGGCTGAAAGTACTATTGACTGATTTATTACGAGAGAAAAATACTGTTCGTTAGCTGAAAAAGTACGGCTTATAAGCCAAGCGAACAGGGCGTAGAGCTAATCATTAGCTAAGTAAAAAAATAGATGACTAAAGTTTAGTCTTGTGCTTACACAAACTAATAGCTAATTAGTCTACTTTATGTCTGCCAGTGAACTAACCTATTTGGATAGTCTAGGACTAAGCTTTATTAGGTGACTAAATTTAGTCCTGTTATATATCCAGACATGGCTTACTCCGAAATTAATGAGACCATGACGCTCACTTAATATATGTCACTGAATAAGTGTGGACGACGACGCTACTGAAACACACACCTCATAGATGCTGACCTTGGGCACTAGTGATTCACTCTCTATGAGACCTAGCTGGTGGGATTTGTTGCAATGTTATTAGGGCACTCCTAATGGGATGACCAGAATAGTTTCTATGTCATTCATTAGGGTGCCAAGTAAGCAAAATAGCGATGTGGCATTAAATTGAGGAAAGAAGAAATTATGCCTACATTGGAACTAATTAGATAGGAAGAGGTCTTAGGTAGATGATAAAGATAAGATATGGGATTGGCTAAAAAAAATATTTAACTATCGATTAGAAACATAATTCTTATGTGTAGTTTCTATATGACATAACAAGTAAATAATTTCTTGGTTGAGACCAAACCGTTAGGGTTGTGGCTACGGGTATTGGCGGTACATGATTATTGAACAAAATTGAATGTCGTGCTCTTGTAAAGGCCTGGTTTAAGTTAATAAGGAGAAGCATCATGGTTTTCATATTCACATCCACAAGTGCTAATATCCCCCCCTCCCCCAAAGTTTAGATTGTTAACTCTCTCTATATATATACACGCGCGCGCGCGCGAAGCAATTTTCACCTATATTATGCAATATTTTGTAGTGATATCTAAGAATATATTATGGCGAGGGACAAAAGAAATAGGAATAGTGACATCCATCTAAGGGGACACATAGTATAGACCATCCTCGTCCCCCGAAGTGTGGAGCTTCTCCGTGCCACCCTTTTGTAAAGTGAGGCTCCATCGTTGGCTGCCTACTACTAGCTAGCGTCTACGCACGTCCAATTCGCTGTGTAATGCGCGCGTGCACTTCATGTTCAAGAAGAGTATAGTACTGGTCCTCACTCTTTCATAAAAATTAAATCGTTTTAGTTTGGTCTAAAATACACTGACTTTTACAATACTGAATTAGTTTCATTAAATTCACCATGTATCTTGACAGTATATTTATTTGGTATTAATTGTAATAATGTATTCTTTTATATAGGTGAACATAGTTAAAATTAGATAATTTAATTTAGAAAAGGTGAAACAACCTTACGTTTTAAGAGGAGTACTACTACTTTGTAGTGGTATCTAGAACCAATAAATATAAAAGATGCCGCACTATACCAGCTGCCCATGCTGTGCTAGATGACATCCAAAGTGAAAACTGAAAAAAAAGAGGATCTCGGTATATATGCAGTGGACCTATTGTCGGTCATGTAACACGGTGTGTGTGCTGCAGAGAAACGATGATCCTGGCGTCCACCACTCAGTGCGCCCCGGTACGGTCCATCAGTGATCAGATATTTATTTATTTATACACACGTCCTAAACCTGCTGATCCGACGTGCATATATGCTTGTTGTGCGCGCCCCTCTCAGCCTCACAGGAAAAAGAAAGCATATCGCTGGTTGGCTCAATTCAGTAGTGTGCTATCCCTGCAGCTGGAAGCGCGCCGTGTTACACGTTGCTGGTTTGACCGACGACGACGTACGGCTCTAGCTAGCGAGCCTGGTAGTCTCTCTAGAACTACATACAATTAATGGTGCTACAGGAGAGGATAACCATGCACATGCTGGTGACTGGATGATGGGTATCAGCTGGTCCAGATTGACTGTCGGATATGGATGGTATCGTTATCTCTCTACGCTTCAGTGCAAACAGGCCGAACAAGTCCTGAAATGTAGCTATCTAGAGTTTCTAAAATTGCGCCACATTCTCGGTTCTTCTTGAGCGCCAGCTAGTGCATGCCAAACCACACCACGTGAGAGAATTTCTTATTTGACACTGGAAAAATGAGCCGTTTTTTTCTTGATCCTGAAATTTTATTCGTTCCTTATTTGACACACACTTGAACTTTCATCCTTAATATGACATCGCAGTCAAATCCATCAGCTAACGGTGTTAAGTGGCTGTTAAAAAGACCTTTTTGCCCATGGGTCAAAAACATGTTGACAAAAAAAAAGAGCAGCCAGCGGCCAGATCCGCTGCATGCATGCGTCCGCGCCTCTGCATGCGCTGCATGTATGCGCCCAGCGCCCGCTGCATGCATGCGCCAGCACCCAGGGGCAAAAAGGTCTTTTTAACAGCCACTTAACACCGTTAGCTGACGGATTTGACTGCGGTGTCATATTAGGGATGAAAGTTCAAGTGAGTGTCAAATAAGAAACGAAAAAAATTTAGGACCAAAAAAGAAACGACTCATTTTCCCAGTGTCAAATAAAGAATTCTCTCCACCACATATTGGCGAATCCAGGGCCATTTGTCACGTCGATCGGCCGACGCTAACGACTTCTTTGTAAAACCAGTGAGAAAACACCGTTTTGTACTGCTGTCTACAGTAAAGAAAACCTTAGCCAGTGCTGGTTAATTCCTCCGGTCAGATATATTCTACCCTGCTGTTCTGTGTTCTTGTGTAAAGGTAGTTGTTTACATTTGCACATTAGGAGTAGCACGTGTGTGTGTGCGCGCGCGCATCTTTTGAACTGTTTTTTTTTTTTACTTAGAATGGTTAAACTCTCAATGTTATCGTAAAGTCTGTCTCAGGCTGTCGGTGCATGATGCATTAGTGGAGCATGCATTACTTGAATGACCACCAAAACCAATGAAATTTATAGAAGTATATATGTATACTTAATAATAAATCTCAATCTATAATTAAATGGTTACATTACGTGTGAATATCCTAGTAGTTCTGTTTTTCTTATAAATCACAGAAGATATTATTAACTACTAACATTATTAGAGCACAACTATTAAATATACTAAATATGATATAATTTAATTTAGATCTTGACACCTCTATATGTAGCTCTATATAATTATAAACGCATTGCAATATGTATTATTGCATCATCACGTCTTCAATTTAGACTACTTCAGAAATAATAGCCAGGAAGCATAGCACTCCTACCAGTGTTTATAAATACTTTATGATACAGTCGCAAAGAAATGTTGTATTATGATAATATGGGTGCTACATATGCATATGAGTGCACATTTACTTTTAGTAGCGGGGTCGGAAACTTTTAGGAGCCCGGTCGATTCTCATTGTGAATAAATATTTATCTAAAAAACATAGTGTTTCTCTTTGATATGAACAAAAAGTCCCTTTGCACTTTATCAACAAACTTGGGCTGCCGCCCGGGGTCACCGGGCGGTGGCTCCACCACTATTTAATTACTCTATCCCACGTGCCTCTTTATTTATGCTATAGTCTTTCCATTCTATAAAACATATAGTCCATCACAAACAAGTGATATTTTTATTTTGTTTTTTTTCTTAATCAACCATTATAAACTTTTGTCACGGTGCAAAATATGTTTTTATGTGTTAAAATTGGAATATGGTGCAAGCAGATTTTGTCGAAAGCTTCATAATAAAGATAAAGATATAATTTCTCTTTTTCTATAAATGTTTTCATAAAAAGCACTAGGCAAAGTTGGCTTTGAAAACTATGTAAGTACGTACCCAAAACGTCACTTATATATTTGTGAGTGGCACTGTACGTGGCAGTGAGCATATATCAAATGCTACTATGTTATATATATATATATATATATATATATATATATATATATACACACACATATTTGTGCAAAGGGCCTCTATTTGGTGATCGTTAACTTCATTGGCAGACGTCGTCTTGATTACGGAAGCATACTCTGTCATGGTCCAATATAAGAGAACGGCTAAGAAATGGCCATAAGTAAGCCTGCTATGACGACATGCACAAGTACTAAGACATAAGTGGTAATACTTAGCTTGTGATACAAGCTTACTTGAAGGATTCAGGATTGGACGGCCATTCGGGCAAGAACTCCTCCAGCGGGTGGCAGTGAAGGCGCAGATAGTCCCTCCAGTTGTGCACCGTCTCCTTGCGGACGTTGAAGCTGGTGGAGAGCCTTATCTTCTTGGACGGCTCATCTGAGTACAGCTTCTCCTTCTCCTCCGGCGGCAGACGGAAGAACTCCAGACCAACGGCCATCATCTTCTCCAGTAGCTCCTCTTCTATTCCATGGTTTATGACCTAGAAGAAATCAAGAAGATCATGCACAGTAATGTCTGACAAGGTGGTGAGACAAATTCTCTAAAGCCTCCGAAGAAGTTAAGCTGCGTTAGTTGCGCAGATGTTTGAACGCTGAAGCATGCACAGCTCAGGACAAAACCTAATTTTTTTTAAACTAGATCTTTTAAGGCGAGAGGCAGAGAGACCTGGAAGAAGCCATAGGTCCGGCAAGCCAGACCAATCTGGGCGATGACTCGTTGCTTATCCGGCGACGCGAGGTCGATGAGCGGCACGTCGCTGTCCGTCATCACTTCGGCGAGTCGCGGCCTGTCGAACTCCGGCCGGATATAGCTCTCCGGGAGGACCTCGCGACGCTCGACGGTGGACAGAAGCTGGCTTCCCATCGGATTGCAAGAGATCACTATGCTGCTTAATTGTTTCTGAAGGGCTGGGGAATGAAGCAGGAAAGAGGATCGCCCACGGCAGAAGGCGGAGACCTAGCAGAGTTGACGCGCGCAGTGAGCGTCACGGAACAACTGGCCGGGTTTGCTCGAGACACAAACCGAGAGGATACTTATATAGGCCTCGTTGTATCTATTAGTGTTAATATAGTTAGGAAGGTAAAATTAGCATGTAAAGATCAAACATCCCAGCTAATAAACCTCCTAACTATTAGCTAGGGAATTACTAACAGTAGTTCATTCAGTGGAGGGGCCCTAACCTTCGCTGGTGCAGGGGCGATTACAGGCACTAAAATCCATTAGCATAGACAGGTCAGTTGCAAAGTAAAATTGAGAATATAATCATCTATACAGACAGGTGGGTCTATTATGTGATTTGCTTGTAGAAAAAAAAATCGCAGATATTCTATTATGTCCACCGTCAGTAAAAGTTACTCATAAAAAAAACTCTAGGTGGCGCGCTCTCACCATGGCTCCGTGCTACCGCTCAACATGCGTGGCCCGTGGCACCATGATCAGCCCCTACTGACATGGTGTCTACCCCGCGAGACCGAAACACCATGGCCCCACTGCGCCATGACCAGCCCCTGCACTACAATGGGCTGGCCAAGTGTCGCGTCAAGGTAAAACCTAAAAATTTCATTAAATTGATCCTAATATGGTAGGCAAACAAATTTAGATGAACCAAAGTGTTTTATTCCAATTATGTTTTGGGTGATTTTATTGTCCAGAAGACATCAATAAATATATATGACAATATTTTTATCATACTTTATTAATGCAAAAATAGATTGTTAAACTATGTAAAAAGTGTTGTTGTGTTGTTTGTGGTTAGGGAGGGGGGGGGCATGCCCCATGCCTGCCCCTGGCTCTGTCCTGCTTGGTTGGTGCACACAAATATAATAGTTACTTTGGCCATTTGCCAGTAGGAGGCAGACCTAGGGGCCTGCACTGGGAAACTTGGAGCCTATAGATTCCCAAGAGGATGAGGCGGTGGAAGCAAAGTTGAGCCCTTACCTGCTATGATTTCTACTTTGTTGGAAGAGGATGACCCCATCCATGCTGTAAACTATCATGATAGAAAATGCTTTAACAACTTCATACAGATGGAGGTGACAGATGCTCTAGAGTCATTGAAACTATGCCACTACCTTTGCGGTATGATCATGTTGCTGCCCGGCACACCAAGAATGGGTTGGAGAATTTGAAGTATGGCACCAATTTGATCTGCACCTTCCTTAAATTTGTTGATCCCCGATATCAATTGTTCACCTAAATGGCCGTTTAGTCCATTTAAACAACGTTTAAACGGTAAACAATGGCCACCCGTGTCGTTTAGGCCTTAAACGGTTGGACTGTTTAAACACATTTAAATCGTTAATGACCATCTAAACGGTCTAAACAGAATCAAGTTAAACATGATTAAATGAGCTAAATGGTCATTTAACTCACTATTTAGTTAATATGAGGATCACAGCTACCACATTTCACACCCAACTAATTAACTCCGGAAGTATTTGAGGTGGAGTTGGATTTAGTTTTCTTGACAAAAAATTATTTGGTAGAATACTCATTCTTTTACATGCGTAAATACATATACTTTCTAGCATATTTGTTTTTTACATACATGAATAAATATATTTTAGTATTACTATACAAAATCGTTTAGCCCGTTTAATTCTGTTTAAACACTGTGTAAAAGGCCTAAACACTAAACAAAGGATCGTTGACTGTTGAACAACTTGGATTCACAAAGCCTGCTCCTTACAATAGCTTTTGGTATTGCTGATCATTGCCCACCAGGCAACATATTGGAACTACAAAGAACTGGTCTATGAGGGAAACATTTTCTATTGCACCTTGTAAAAAACAAAAAGATATGCTTCTCTAGCTAGCCTAATTGATAGGAATATATATCATCACCCGTAGCCATAGGGCAACAAACCGCAGACTCAATCATAATGACATTTAGTGTCCTAGTGGCAAGTAAATCCTTTGATGATGCAATTTCTTGTTTCTAAATCAATAGTGAAGGGTTTTGTTTGTACTAGTGACATGCTTAACTTAGTTGTAGCATCAACATTAGATTGTGACAATAGCACTGTAAAACCATGGATGCTAAGCCTCCACCAAACCTGAACCTCTTCACATGGGGGCATATGCCCCTAGGGGCAAAAACATTGTTACCGTGAGGAGACTCTTTCTTTCAAAATATTTGTCAATTTTTCATCATTGGATGTCAAAGGTTGGGACAATTTAATTTGATAGTGACTACCTATCACAGATTTGCAAAAGTGAAATGATTTTCTAAAGTGTTCGAGTATTGCCATCCCTTGACTCGAGGCCCCCGCGTCGCCCCTTGCGGCAACACGGGTGGAACGCAGCGCCGCCGCCATAGCTAGGCCCTCGTTCGCTCCTACCGCCTTGCCGCCACCAAAGCGTGCGGCTGGAAGTCCGTGCTACTGCAAGGACGACGGCGGCAGGGCCTCCTTTCGTGACTTTTCTTCTCAAGCCCGTTGAGGTTTCAAATGGCAATGTCAGTCTAGTCGGCGAGCTCAGTTCTGGTGTGGCCATGGTCGGATCCTCGGCCTTGGACTCCGGATCCACCGCCCCTCCTGCCATATCGGGGGGGGCTGCTTCCCTTGGTGGCGTTGTTGCGGCTTGACGGCGGTGCTACGGGTGGCGGCGATGCAGTTGTCCGAGGTCATCTCGCTCTCGGTGGTGGTGCATCTACATGCAGGTGTAGCCAAATGGAGGCTGGCGAGTTGCCCGGTGCAACTAGTGCTCAAATCCGGTGGGGTGTCGTAGGCCTAAGAGAGTCCGCCCCCTCCCTTCTTCTGTGTTAGCTAGCCTGGTGGATTTGGAGGCTGCGTGGGGGTGGCGCATGGCTGGCGGCGGTGCCCGGAGACAGTTTGTGAGGGACAGCCGGACCGGTGTGGCAGGCAATGCAGTTAGGTGGCTAGTCTATGTGGTTTGCGGTTGGCTGGCAATGGCGTTGTGTGGCCGGCGGCCAATTCAGGTAGGGGATGGCCCGAACGGAGTGCCCGGTGACCAGATCTACGAGGTGATGGCTGGATCAACGAGGTCGGTGGCAAGATAGCGGCACTAAGAAGGTCAAGGTCAGCTGCACGCCATTGGCGGTACAGTGGACGACGATGACGCCTACGGGCGCCACTCCCTCACTGAAGGCGTCGTTTAGCATGTTCTCCATCGGCCCACTTGTAGGCTCGAGATGGCGGACTAGAGGAGGGGGGGTGAATAGTCATTTCTAAAATTAATCGTGCCGGCTAACCAAAATAAATGTGGAATTAAAACTATTGGTCTAGTCCAGACTATATCCCTCTATCTAAGTTCTCTAGCACCTTACAAAGATCCTAAATAGGCAACAAAAGTGCCAGGCTAGCACCTAATCAATTCTAGTAGCAAGGTCATACAAACCTATGCAACTAGTACTTTGGCAACCAGGGGAGCTCCTACACAATCTAGTAAGCAAAAGCATAAAGCTCCTCAGCTCACCAGCAATGCTCAATAATAAGGCTACACAAGCCAAATTAGAGAGCACAAATTACTTAGGTACACAAACTAAGCAATGTAACTAACAAGGTTACTCAAGCCAAATTAGTTACGCAAGAGAGCTACTTCTATGCTACACAAGCAAGAAGGTAACTAGCAAGCTACACAAGCTAACTAATTACAAAAGCAACTACACAAGCACAATATATATGAAAGTAAATACAAGCTTGTGTATGGGGAATGCAAACCAATAGGAAGAACGATATTGACACGGTGATTTTTCTCCCTTGGTTCGCTTGGTTGCCACCAAGCTAGTTTCCATTGTGTCGATCACTCACTTGGTGGTTCGGTGGCTAATTGGCATCACCCGCTAGGCCCACACGTTGGGCACGGCAAGAACCTACCCACAAGTGAGGGTAGCTCAATGACACGCTCTACTAGAGTTGCTCTTTGTGATCCCCGCAGGGTGAGCACAATCCCTCTCACAAATCCTCCTTTAGAGCACTGCATAATCTTATCACGTGCTTCAACAGAGTCACAAGCCACCAAGCCATCTAGGAGGTGGCAACCTCAAAGAGTAACAAGCACCACCGGCTTGCAACTCGAACATCTAGTGCCACTCGATGCAATCTCACAAGGCAACGCACTAGAATCACTCACTCGCAATAGATTCACACTCTTGCAAGCATGAGTGAGTTAGAGGGCTCCCAAGCACTCTCAAGCATGGACACAAAGTCCCCCAAGGTGCTCAACCTCAGCCATGGCCGAGACAACCCTCTATTTATAGCCCAAGGGCTAAATAGAGCCATTACCCCTTCACTGGATTTTTTGCTCATCGACCAGATGCGCAGGTCAACATGACCGGACACGCCGGTCCCTGCATCCGGTCGCTCCAGCGACGCCATGTTTCACTAGCCGTTGCCGCCAACGGCTACTTCGCACGCGTGCGCCTACAACCACTAATCGGATGCGCTACTCAGCTTGACCGAACTCATCACGCCTCAGCGTCCGATCAACAACAGAGAGCTCCCTAGCAGGCCAAAACTCGACCGAACGCGTCAGGTTAGTCATGACCGGACTCTGCGACCGAGTTTGGCCCTTCTTCACCTGCCACGCATCACTGCCGCTCCACGCGCCATAACGTCAGCGTACATCACGTCTGACCGGACACAAAAGCGTCGTGTCCGGTCACCTCTAGGCACCAGCGTCCGATCGAGGAGTCCAGAGCTGCGCCCTCTACGCCAACTGACTAAATGCGCCTGGCAGAGTCTGGTCCTATCGAGGCCAGCGTCTGGTCACCTCCAGTGACCTCTTTTCGTCTGCTTTTCTTCACCGAGTTGATTCTCAACAACTCCAACTTCTTCTCCTTTGCAAATGTTCCAACACCACCAAGTGTACAACACCTTGTGCACGTGTGTTAGTTTTTCACA